CGACACGATCGTGGACATTGGCTACATAGTTCAATGTCCACGTTTTGTGGACATAGAGGCGCTTCAAAATAAAGTTGCAGCTAAATCCCGGGCATGGCCGCTCTTAGGCTTCTCTCTGCCCTAGTGACCCTCTAATAAGAGTCTGGACACGTGAGTCCGCCATTATTCGTCGAAATTGTGCGAGAGAGAAAAAATCATGCTATCTCATTCTAGTGGCGCTGTAAGTTGTAGCTGATTGTAGCTCTACAAACTTCATAGTTTCTGTTTCTGTTTCGTCTCGCCTCATGCATCGTATCATTTTTAAGACCAGGACCATTAATATTCGAAGAAGAAGAAGAATCATTATGATTAATATTATTATATTATTATATTATATTATTATATTATTATATTATAAATTATTATTATATTATATTATTATATTATTATTATATTATTATTATTATAATTTATTATTATTATTATTAATATTATTATATTATTATGATTAATATTATTATTTATATTATTTTTATTATGCGTTAAAGGAATATATGTTACATTTTTGTTATATGTTAAATATAATAATTACAAAAACATTTTTATTAAATATAAATACTGTATATCTAATATACATAAATAATATGAAATATACATGAAATATTTTTTTCTGCATAAATATACTACTTTATTTATTCCCTATTGGTGCTACCTAAGTATTTTTTGTTAAGAATTTTAAAGCATTAATTGTATTATTTGTATTTAAATTTAATTTTTATTAAAGTTTCTTAATCTTGTAATATTTTTATAAATTTTATATATTCTTAATATATTAATTTTTATATTTTCAATCTATTTATAATACTTACTTAATTGTTGTTTTTATTTTATGAAAGACATATTGCAACGTTTTTTTTACATAAAAGTTTTTATAGAAAATATTTAATAATGTTAATATAAGTTAAATAATAATAAAAATAAAAATTGTAATTGATTCTACTTTAATTTTTACGAATTTATTAATTTTTACAATTTATAAATTTAAAGAAATTTGCGGGAATGGATGATAAATGTCGGACCAATCACAAACCGGGGAGAAGGTGGCCAGACTCTTATTAGAGGGTCACTACCATTCCCGAGGATGCGCAAGGCTGCGTTCAGGAATCACACCTAGATAACACTAGGCTATAGTGTACGTAACGTATATTATAGCAAAAATGCACCCAAGAGTTATCTGAGCATAATTCCTGAACGCTCCCCAAGTGGTTCAAAGTAGTGTCTGCTCAGTGCTCTTCGATCAATCAGAATTTACCCTCAGTCTAGCTGTCAATGAATAGGTTAGTGAAGTGAAAAAGAAATAAAAATAGAGTTAATTGTATTAATATTGTTTATTGAGTTTGTAAAAATGCCAGGGTGTTGCGTGAAAAATTGTACTAGTCGTACGTCTTATAAGAGAACGAAGAATGTGAGATATTTTCGATTTCCAAAAGACAAAATTCTTCGTCAGCAATGGCTTCAAGCCTGTCAAAGAACAGAAACAGATATAAAAATTGATTATGGTAAAATTGATATAATTAATTAAATATTCATTAGTTTACAACATAAATAAATAAATTAAAAATAATATATAAATGATTTATTTATCAATTATTTATTTATTAATTGATTAATTAATTAATTAATTAAAACGAAAATGAATTAAGATATACATATATACATATTAAAATAAAATATATTATAATTGTAGCAGTGGTATGTAGTAATCATTTTGATTCTAAGTGCTTTACTGATTTTCCATTTAATATCCTAAGAAAAGATGCTATTCCAACAAAAATGTTAATATTGGAAAAGAAACATACACAATATACGAAAAGGTATAAAGGAACTGAAAATGAACCGTAAGTATTTTTTACGTTTCTAAATTTGTTGCAATTTTCATATGCATATGAAAATATATTCTTTAAGATTAAGGACTGGAGTACCAACGTACAAAGAACTAGTTAAATGTATTGGACAAGAGAAGCGTTTGCCGCAAGAAGAAAAAATTATGCAACACACGGAAGCAGAAACTACAGAATATGTAGAAAATACTGCACCTAATTATTTCGAATGTATTGAACAAGAGAAGCGTTTGCCGCAAAAAGAAAAAGTTATGCAACATACGGAAGCAGAAACTGCAGAATATGTAGAAAATACTGTACCTAATTATTTCGAATGTATTGAACAAGAGAAGCGTTTGCCGCAAGAAAAAGAAGTTATGCAACATACGGAAGCAGAAACTGCAGAATATGTAGAAAATGCTACACCCAATTATTTCGAATGTATTGAACAAGAGAAGCGTTTACCGCAAGAAGAAGAAGTTATGCAACATACGGAAGCACAAATCGTAGAATATGTACAAAATGCTGCACCCAATTATTTCGAATGTATTGAACAAGAGAAGCGTTTGCCGCAAGAAGAAGAAGTTATGCAACATACGGAAGCAGAAACTGCAGAATATGTACAAAATACTGCACTCAATTATTTCGAATGTACTGAACAAGAGAAGCGTTTGCCGCAAGAAGAAGTTATACAACATACGGAAACAGAAACTGCAGAATATGTACAAAATGCTGCACTCAATTATTTCGGATATATTGAACAAGAGAAGCGTTTGCCGCAAGAAGAAGTTACGCAATATACGGAAGCAGAAACTGCAGAAAATGTACAAAATGCTGCACTCAATTATTTCGAATATATTGAACAAGAGAAGCGTTTGCCGCAAGAAGAAGTTATGCAACATACGGAAGCAGAAACTGCAGAATGTGTAGAAAATGCTGCAATCAGTTATTTCATTCCAATATGTCCAGCTATTTTCTATTATTAACCTTGTGTAATCTTGAATGACCTTCAATTATAAGTCACTGTATTCATCTGAAAATGCTCTATCAAATGTAAATAAAAAACATATCATTCCATTAAAAAAAAACCAGATTTGACCTATCCTTTATGCCTTCACTTACAAAACGTTTATTGACATCACATTATGTGTCTCTCAAAACAAAGCAACTTTTTGTTTGGCACTTTTTCTTCTATTGTTAAAAACAAACGAGTTATTCAGGTGACGTGTTTAAATGCCTCACCCTGTATGTATATACATTTTGTATATCCAAATGTTTTTTTTTTTTTTACAGAAGGTAGGTCAGCAATTATAATTTTTCAATGGAAAATGCATCAATAAAAACATTATTAATGTAAATACGAAAATTAGAAGAAAAAAAAGCAAAATATATAGAAAGAAAAAGAAGTAGTAGAATAACAAAATAAATAATTGAGGCAGAAACAAGTCGATACTAATTGAAGTTTTAAGACAAATATTTACATCAGACCAAATCACAAAGATAAAGCCACTTTAAGATTTATTGATTTTTAAGAGATGTAAAAAAAGTGCTATTACTATATTTCTTATATCATGGCTGTAACCATGATGCGCATTTTTGCACCATGGAAAAATGCAAAACATGTGCAGCAGAGCGTATGCGAGTCCTCTCTGACATATTTTCTAATCTGAATATAATTGTGAACTTTAACGATTAATATTTCAGCTTGTATGTAGTTGAGTAGATTTTTCCTGCAAGATTCGATCGTTTCATGCAAAAATATATCAAATGAGCCTTATTTTATCAAAATCGAAAATGAGGAAGCTTAACTGAACAATTACTTGCTTTTGTTTACACAAAAATATAATAAGAAATGTTATTTATACATTTTAATTTTTAAAAGGACAGAACAATTCAAGATGTTAAATAAAGCTAATTGAGAAGTATTTTCTGTATAAGAATTTGAACGAAATTTCGAAGTCAGGAAAAAGATGATATAGAAATTTCATAAAATAAGAAATAAAATAATGACATTTTTTTATTTAAGACACTTATTTTATTCTTATTATAACTTACTACACATTATACAATTGCATATAATCACAAGTAATATATTTATCGTAGAAAACTGATAATTAAATACAAATATGTTTATTTGATAAGCACCGTGCTCAAATATTATAATAAAAATTTCCTAATGCTACAAATGAAATTTGGACATATATATATGATCAACTGCAGCTAAAATCAAGATGCACGTTTATATTATAATATACAATATTTAAACTAATTTCTTTGCCTCGAAGAAACTCTTGAGATGTTTCATTTGCCATGCACCCATAATCAGGACTACTATCGTCTGAGTTAGGGACCACCAGAATACACGACGATGAGTGCTTTCAGACGTTTGCCTAAACCGTTCTTCCCGATACTAAAAAATTAAACATGTTTTTACACAATAATCTCTCACATAAAGTTTTTTTTTTACAATATTCAAAATGTTGCTTTATATATAAAGTGTACTTTATAGTAAGAACATAGTGTAACCACACGTGTAATGTTTCTATATGGCTAGCTGAGCTCTCTGTAGAAGTCCAACACTACGGTACAGACAATATTTATTTTGTTCTCTATTATTGTTTAGTTTGTTATAAAGCATGACATGTTGCTATACTTGCATATTTACGGTTATTGAACATTTCTTTCATTCTTTTCTAGAGAACATTAATAATCGTCCATCTTCTTCAATATCCACTCCTGTTTATAGAAAACCTGTTCACTGCTCAGCTAGCCTTATATAGAAATATTATCTATATAAGTGTAACACTATGAATTGTTATATCCTTGTTGTTTCTTTAATATTAAACAAGACTGAAATGATTCACTGTATCTTTGCTAGAAAACACATCCCTAGAGAGAAACTATATTTTAATTACTTTATACCCTTTGATAGTTTTGCTCCTTGGTTATTTGTCCAACTTGATCCAGTAGCTGACGTATTCTAAGTTGGAGCTCTGATAACTTTTCCTTCTGCGCTACATTGGCATAATCAATTGCATGTTCCCCTACTTGAATATCTAGATGTACTCTCTGCAAATAAAAAATATTTTCTAATATATATATGTCTTTATTTTTATTTGTTCTTGTTTATTCAATTTAATTTATTGATAATAATTGTATAATGTATGTATGTATGTATCTTACCAATTGAGTACCACTGAACCAGGCGGTACTGTTCGAGTACAAGCAGATTACATGTTCTCCTGGAGTATGCGAGGTAAAGGAAATTCGACCTTCGGAGCTATAAACTCGAGAGAGGATAGGTTTGTCATCAGGATCCTTTACTTCAACATGCATACCGATACCAGGACTACTTGGCATGAAACCTCCGCTTCTTGGGTCATAAAGCTCTACTTTATAATTAACTGCAAATTACGAATAAAAAGATATTTTTCGCTGAATAAACGATAGGCAAAAGTAGGAAGAGCAGAGCAACGTATCACATGTTTCACTTTCTTTCTATAAATTTTTAATCTCGCTACACACACACAAAATGATTGAATAACAATTGGGCAAGAAGCAATAAGTGCAAAAAAGCAGTAAGTAAAGGTTATTAAAATAATGAAATGATTTTACCTAAAACCGTAGTATCGTCGGGGATCTCTTCGATGAAGCATTTTCGCTCAGTTTCACTGATATGAAAATACAGTCCCGTCCCAAATTCGAGAACGCATAGAAAAATGAAAACAATATTTCCGTATTTTAACATGTTTCGCGTAACAGTTTAATCGCCAGTGACAAGATGATTATGAAATCACAAATAAACGTTCGCACGCATGCCAGACGACAGCCAACGAGATTCAACGAAACCGAAGACTCGAGTAGAGGCGACCATACGGAATACACGTCACCTTCGAAAGCAAGACTGAGGAAGACCAGCTCTTCAATTAAAACAACTTCTAAAAAACAAATTGATTGTCGGTTAAGTAGATGTCACGTCGATACACATATCTACGCGTATCTGCAGTATCAGCATGTGGCACCGTCAAACAGAAGAAAGATCTTTCTTACGTAACCTTATATGTATGGACCGTTGCGTTGCGCTGTTAATCGCTGAATTGTGTATTTGTGTCGTCCACCACTTTATGATACGTATGATTCGTCGTATGACGTATGGCGCTGTTTGAATCAACAGACTCAACAGTTGATTGAACGCTTGCTATTGGTGCATTCTTCTAGATCTAAAATTCTGATTAGATGATCGAAAAGAATACACCAATAACAGCAAGCGCTCACCAACTGTTGAGTCTGCTGAACGCGCTCATCGTTATTGGTGTATTCTTTTAGATCATCCAATAGCAGCAACCGCTCACTGATCTGCTCCGCAATAGTTGAGTTTGCTGAACACGACCAATCAATATCAAACTGACTAGACTCTGATTGGACTGCAACGCTTGTGATACAACGATGCGACCCAGATGTAGAATCAGTTTTATGGGCGCTATCAGCGCATGTGCAGAAAGCGGCCTGTATGGCATATATCGTTACTGTCAATCTTGTCGAATTGATATAAGTTGGAGTAAATTGGAGTCGAGGATTTGCTTGTTGAGCTTCTTCAAGCTTCTTTGAAAATGGATACGTTGAATATGTGGATATTTTTTGTTGGGACAGCCATTATACTAATTGGCTTAAGTATCATTCATTCACGAGGTAAAAATTTACGTCAAGCTCTTATTTTATAAGCCGTCAGTAGTTCGCTTCCTTAGCTTTTTACCTGTCAACTTGTATCTGTTTCGTATCATATGCTCCGTTCACTTAACCTTTAAATTGACAGTCGAATAATGTTTACTATCGAAATTTAATCGAATCGACGAGTTATTAAAAAAATTAGAAGTGGAACAATTAGGAATATATAAGAAACTTTGTTTATTAAATCTTTATGGTCACTGTAGTTTAAAATGACCCGAGCATATTGTAAATTATTTCAAGAGTATTAAACCACAAAAATTTTTAAAAATGAATTTTTTATGTTATAATTTTTCAAGTAAAAAAATTAATTTTCCTAAATTAACATGTTTAAGATTTTTTTTCAATATTAAAATTGAATTTTTGATCATAACGGCATTGTTCCATTTTCTTAAAAAATAAAATTATATACTATAATTTTTTGAAATCAATGGAAATTTCAAAAATAGTTTAGATCATTTTAACCTAGAATTATTATTGTATGACTTTTTTTATGTGTGATCATGGAGAGTTAAAGAACATTATTACTAAATATTAAAGAACATTATGCTTATGTCTCATGATACTAGTAAACGAACGATTGTATCCTCAGCTAGGAAGAATTTAAAACCCAACGAACAACCTATGGCAGAAAATAGACAAGTAGTCCTTATGAGGAATGTCAGACATCGTATGCAGGGAAATGCTAATCACGCGAATCATCTACGTGAAGCAAATGATGACAGACAGATCAATCAAAATTACGAGGAGGATAAAGATGACAAAATAGATCATAAGATAGGAACGAAAAAACGGATAAAACTAGCGGCTAAGGCAGAAAAAAAGGTCCAGAGAGAAGCGGCTGAACGAGAGAGAGAGGAACGTAAAAAACGGGAGCAACTTTTACAAGAGGAAAGAGATAAACAAGCTGAGAAAGAATATGTTGAACAATTACGAGTGGAAGAAACAGAAAAGAAAGCTAGAGAGGAAAAGGAAAAGCAAGAATATGAAGAATACTTGAAGATGAAGGAAGCCTTTAGTGTGGAGGAGGAAGGTTATGAACAAGAAAATAATGAATGCGAGAATTTGTTACAAGAATTTCTTGCATACATTAAGCTGAACAAAGTGCTGATTTTAGAAGATCTAGCTGCACATTTTGGACTGAAAACAGCGAGCGTAGTAGAAAGAATTCAAGAATTGCAAGCTAATGGTAATTTAACTGGCGTAATTGATGATAGAGGAAAGTTTATTTATATATCGGAAGATGAACTTCAAGCTGTTGCTAAATTTGTGCGTCAACGTGGTCGAGTTAGTATCGCTGAATTAGCTGAAAATTCGAATAATCTAATTAATTTGACTCCTGCAAAAAGCTGTAGCGTTTTTGTTAGATAAATGTACCAAGTTCTTATTGTACATCTCTTATACTGATTGCAATATTACTAAACAAATATGACTATTGTATATATAATGTTCACAAATATATCTTTATTTATAATATCAATTGTCCCAGCAAACCATGAGTATAATTGTTACATAACAGATGTAAATAATACATATTTACATCTACATTAATTAATTATACTCATAGTTTACTGGAGCACTTCAAGCCCTTCTAGCTACCCAAGTTGTTATATTATAACAAATGAATGAAATATTTAGAATGTTTTAAATGTTTGTATAAGTACACAAATATGTATATATTTATAATTTAACATTATACTATCTCTCTGTAATAAAAGATTATTAATTTTAATAAATACAATTATAAAATGTTTATTTTCTCATTTTTATCTTAAAAAAAATTTTATATTTTAGACTGCATTCCGGTATATTACTATCAGTATTGAAAATCTGTAATTCACATTACATATATACAATATATTATAGATTTTCAATACTGAGAAATGAATCTTGAAATATATTTTTAATAATGACATTAATGTTTAAAAGCAATATTTAATTTAAATTTAGTAATTGACTGCGTTCAGCAGAGAAAGCAGCTTTGCAACTGATGTAAAATTCTTCAATATGATTGGTTTATACATTTAGATCCATAAGGAATCAAAAACAAGAACCAACCGTATTAAAAAATTTTACAACAGTTGCAAAGCGGCATTTTCTGTTGAACGCAACCATTGTTGAGTTTAGCTGCCGACAATTGTTTCTGCCAGAAAATTGTTTCTTGTGCAAAAACATGTCGAATGAATCTAATTTTATCGATATCGTATGTGAGGAAGCCAAACTCAACAATTTCTCGAAAACGAAAGAGTAACGAGAGATTCGTTACTTTTTCAAGTAACTGTAACGGTAACGCGTTATTTCTTTAATAATGTTTTCAACTCTACTTTCAAGAAATATGGTAATAAAAGTAATGTTATTTTTTTTTAAATATAACATTTCCAATTCTGGTAAAAAAAAAAGTTATGCAACGATATAGTAATATCGACATGTCGTTTATTGAGTAATTATTTATTTTTTTTTATATAATTATAAGTTTTTATTTATTTCCTATTCACACTTTACTGCAACGATGGATACCACTTGGACGTAATTCTACTGGTAATAATATTTTTTAAATCTAGTCGTATTTAAAAAATAATATTTGAAAAAATAATATGTAATTATTTAAAAATAATATAAGTACAATTAATTAAAAAGAACAGATATCTTAAAAATAAAGATTAAAGATTGAAAATTTGGGTAAATTATAGAATAGGGGAGCCCCTCCCCGATGTCGACGGTGTGGGTGCGGGGGATGGCCGAAGGCCGAAGGCCACCCCCTTGCACCCGCCCGTGTGTGTGTGTGTGTGTGCGACAGAGGTCTGCCCCGACAGTACAATCATAGCAACAGTACAATTGTGGAAGTTGTATGCCTCTTCGCAGGGGGTTGGGAGAGGTGAGAGTTACTTCGCGTGGAAAGTTTAACGTTTCTAAACAGAAGATGTAAAATAGTACTTGTTATAATACATATATGGCAGAAATGATACGTTAATTTTGAAACTTTTTTTGTTAATAACTTTTTAACGGACAGTGACCGCCACCTAAAACCTGCGGGAGGTTACTCAGGGTCATGACCTTGACAACATATGTCAAGGTCAAGATCATCGGGGGGGGCTCCCCTATTCTATATATTTACCAAAATTTGTAATGAATCGTTGAATTTTCAAAATACAAAATTATAATATGAATACAGAAAAAAAGTAGATAGAATTGATGAAAAGATCATTTAGTATAATTCTGATCTAAATATATCTAATTCTTTATTCATTTTCAAGTTTTCAGTCGACGAGTTAATATACGGCAGTTGTATGACATTTCGCTTTCTTTCGATATTTAAAAATATAGCGACAGAAAGGAATTTTACAACGCGATGTGCGTCCTGACGACATGTGGAATCGATGTTGCATCAGATTCTAGTTTACCTTAAGTTGCAAGAACTACACACGTCGATTCTCATTTTCTCCTAAGAATGTATAATTTATTCTGTAGTAGGCACAGCTAGCACACAATTACGACTTAAGCGTATTGTAATCGTAATACTGAAAAATTGTAAGTAATTAAATAAAATTTTTGATTTTAGAATATTTTCTTTCCGTTTTTGATTTATTTTCTTTCCGAGGTCTTTATCACGTTTTGACATATTTCCGTGTATCTACGATTTTTTTATTTATATTTTTGCTTTATTAAAAAAAATTGCATTAATGACAATAATTATTCTTATAAATGAATAATAAAACAACTTGCGTAGTACTATTACTATTGTAGATAAAATGAAATATTTTTTATTTCCGTATGGGACGTAGAAAATTGAGAGAATATATAATATTTAGAAATGTAATAAAAGATACAACAATGTTCGTTATCTTTCCATCAAATCCTATAAGTAAATATAAAGATTTTTTCTCAAGAATATGATATAGTGTTTGAAAAACACATTCTGAACGATATTTCTTACTATTCATATTATTGAAAGAAAAGATTAGTTACTGCAGCAAATTATATATGGTAAAATATGGCATAGCATTTTTAATTGGCTGTTGCAACCAATTAAACTACTATAAACTTAAACTTTATTACTCGTAAATAAGATCACCTGAATGGAAAAGAATATAAAGAGCGCATCATTTTTTGCCCTTGAAATAAGCCCCAAAATTCTCCAAGATGAAAACACTTAAAATGTATTCTCAGTAAAATTTTGTTTGAAAAGTGATTCAGGAATGATTGCATTTGATTTTTTTGGAAAAATTAAAATTTTACGAAATATATATGGAACATTCTCAAAATATGTAACGATATATATAGAAAAATTTTTAATCGATACTTGAATGTTGCTTTTAAATTCTATAAACATTTTGGAATATATTCTAAAATACTGTTAAAACATTTTTTGGAATTTTAGGAACCTTTTATGAATTTCGGGAGTATTTAACGTTAGCTGGGATGAGATATGTGGTTATATACATTGTGGAAGACATACGAATTAGCAAGAAATAATTACGTTGAGAAAAATAGTCTGGTTGAATTAAGTGGTAATTCTGTGTGTTGTGATATATAGACGAATCAGAATTTTCTGGTTAAATCTAGTTGAGATAACTATAGACTTGTGATTGATAAAATTATTCTAATAAAGATAAGAATTCTAGTAAAATTTACCACAAATTATTGTATTAACAAGAATTTTGGTTATCTCTCAATCAGAATTGTAATAAATTTTAACCAAAAAATTTCTAATTCGTTTATTTTTAAACAGAAATATTTTCAGTTTAACGTTGAAGATATTGAGACTTTAAAGGGTTTTGTAATTATTGAAGAATTAATCAAGTGTTTCATCAATTAATGTATTCATTAATTATAATTACGTTATGTACGCAATCCAATCATTTTTATTACGTGTATATGCAGATGTACTATACGCAGATCATTCTTGATCGACGGAACATGATATTGTCTCTAAGAACAAAGAAATTATATGATTATCTTCTATTATATCTTCCCCAAAATTTTCATTACTTGTTTGCGCAGCAAAGTAAAGATGCACGTGAAATTAATTCATTTTTTAATCTAAGGCTAATATTACATCTAGCTTACAACAAATTTTTCAAGCCCGTGGATTGCCTAGAATAGAAAAAATCCGAGAACTTCTGTGTCTTGCAGCCAATTAATTAACACACTAAAAATTTTTTTCGCACTGCAAATAATATAATACCAGCCTAATTTGCGTGTTATACAGGCCGCCCGCAATACTTCGAGCAGCTGACAAAAAATATAAATATCTTCTTTATCTTGCTTTCCAATCTTCGATATGCATTTACAATTATATTTACGTTGACACAATTTTAATAAATATAATTTACTTAATCATCGAGTGTGTCCATCCGAGATGTGCTCGTTCAGTAGTTATCCCCACTCGTTGATGAGATCAGATCGAAGAAGGGGAGTGTCGGAGACTATGTAAGAACGGCAGGATTAACGAAGAACCAGCAGTCTTCTACTAAGAATCTGTGTATCGTTTACTTCTAACTTTCGAGATTCGATCATTGAGCCTCGAAATTCGATCACCTTTATCAGATTCAATCAAGAAAAACCAGCGTAAAATTTACGTGGAACTAAATTCACACCGATAAACGACAGTTGAACGTAGTATTTTGCAGTGATCTGTAAAATCTATGTGTCGATGAGGTGCAAGATCTTAGATTGTCAAGGCAACTCCCCGACATTTTTACCTAGTGTCAGGTAAGTGGCAAAAATGAAAACTGCGAAAAACAATTTTAACACCCTGATCAATCCTTTGATTATAATCGCCTTTCCGAAAGAGTCAAACGTCAAGCGTATGTCTCTTTAATCTATATCTGCTTGCTTATTCATCGATCAGATATAGCACTTTTGTGAGTGACTTCCTTTCTAACTGTTTGACAATTTAAAATTTTAATTCCCTTATAGACTCGCATAGATACACGTTTGCGTTTTGATTCTTAATATTCTATCAATAAGAATTTCAGATTATTATACATAATATATAATAAAACATTTATGCTCAACTGATTAATCCTTTTTTTTGCATTTATTAATAAATTAATAAAACTTTGTACAAATTCTTTCTATTTTTATTTATCTACTTGGCAATCTGAATAGTCGTTTATTACTCTCTAAATATTGAAAATTGATCAAGTTTTGAAAGTGTGACTCAAATTTCGTATCCTAAAGAATGAGATTCACTCTAGAAATTTTAGAGAATGTAAGATAGTTTAAATCATTATATATATAAAAAATGTTGCACAATATCTTAATTTCTTCTAGATTTTATAGAGAAAAAAGAATTATATAAGTATCGGACGGACTGATAATAAGCGTAGTAATTTTCGTGAAGAATTATCGTATAATCTATTACTTTTACAGATTTAGAAATTCTTTTTCAGAATTAAAGTATTATACACATTAATATACTATTTGGTTATTTTACGATCGGCCACGACTGTTTATCTCGAAAACACAAAGTTTTTTTAATTAAAATTTTTTTATCATTTCTAAAATAGCGTCTAGAATTAAGTCGTGACAACATTTGTTTGATATAAAAG